CAAAATAGGGCTGGGGATGGGGTTCAGTGGAGGCTGTAGAACCAGATGAAGCCAGCTGGGCAAGGAACCGAGTTTCCTCTAAGGAATGTTTCTGTGACATGTTTCTGTGGTCACTAGAAGAGGCAGCTTCCCTGTAAATTCGAAGGGTGTTTATCCTTTCTGAGCCCTGGAGTCAGCGTCCTCTTGGTGACATGGCCACTGCTTTCACCTGAGAGCGTAGTACACCCACTGCTGGGGAGTTGTCAGGGTCCCTCCCTGTACCAAAGAGAACTTTTCAGGGGATTAACAGGCCATGGACACCATCCAGGATTGAGAGTCTGGAAGCCCTGCCACTGATTTATTGGGTGACCTTGGACAGATCACCAACCTCTTTCCGGAACTCAATTTTCACGTATATAAATTGGGGGTCATAGGGGTGGGCAGCAGGCTTAGACCACCTGTTCTTCATAGATGTGGCTCCTCCAGCAGGCCATATCAGGTTCCCCAAGTGGGGGTCAGCCCCGGATTCTGACCACAGCTCAGGCAGGTGCTGATAAACAGGCCTGACCTGAACCCTGCACTTAAATGACCTCTGAAGTCCTCTCTAGCCCAGAGACAGCCAGAGACTGTCACTTTAAAACATTACTGTAAATTACATCAAAGTCTTTTGGGAATGGAACTTTATTTTAAATGACATGGAAAAGGAGGGCAGGCCAACTCATAGCTCTAAGAGCTACTTCAATAAAATAACCCTCATGATGGGAAATACAATCCACATAAATAAACTGACTTGAAAAGGCATTTTTTTTCCTCTTTTAATTTCCCCTCAACTTCAACTCCCTAAATATCTGCAGGAAGGGTAGGAGTGGCAGAGAGTGAGGAAAGTCTATCTCCCAAGGGACACAAAAGTGATCCATCATAGAGGTCACAATGGCCCCTGTTTGGGCCTGTTACAGTTCACTAAGCTCCACTAAGCTTAGGTATTAGGGGATCCTTCCTCGGAACATTTGTGTTGAAGGAAAGAGGAGGAGGAGGAGTAAGGGAGGTGGAGGAGGAAGACTGTCTCCCTCCCTCCCTCCCTCCCTCCTTCCTTCCTATCTTTCTTTCTCCTCCCTTCCTTTTCTTTCTTTCTTCTCCCCTCCCTTCCCCTTCCTCCCTTCCCCTTCCTCCCTCCCTCCCTTTCTTTCTTGCTTTCTTCTGCTCTGGAGCTGCCTAGGGCCTAGTTTAAATCCTGGGACGTGATTCTGTTTGTCTTGCTCCTCTATTCAAGCTGCGGATGCTGCGGGTCTTCTCTGCCCCATTGCTCAGTGTTTGTTTATGGCAGCCAAGTAGAAAATCGCAGTGTCTGTAGTTGTTATTGGTTTGCTGATTGTGTGACCACCTGGTTTGCTGGATTCTGGACAAAGGCAGCAAATCCCCCCTTGAAGGCTAAAGCTGTGTACTTTAGGAGGAGGAAGAGGAGAAGGGGAAGTTTGGATGTCTTTTGTTTGTGTCTGTGTGTTGTTTTGTAAAGAATCATTTAAAGTTGAAATTATTTTAATTGGAACAATAAAGCCCTTTGAGTACACTTTTCATAGCACAAGTTTGCACTAGAAGAAGGTCCCTTTTTTTTTTTTTTGCCATGAAATGCCCTGAAACTGAGGAATTCCTCAATAAACAACTTCATACTTGATTTGTCGTGTATGAAGTTGGATGTGCAGTTTCCAGATGTTTTCCAAAAGGCCCCGTGCTCTGAGGTACAAGGACTGCTTCGAGACATCCCTCTGGTCTGCAGAGATCCCACAGCTGTTTTAGCAGAAAATTATTTTCTTTTAATTTTATAAAATGCCACATTCAACATGTACCTTTCATCCAGAGAGACCCTAAGATGTTCAAAGGATTCAGAATTACCAATCCACCCCCTACCCTCTGGAGTCATACGCAGAAAATATTTAACATCTGTACTGCTGTACCACCCAAAAGTTCTAAATTAAAGGAAGATGTGTTTCTTGCACTAAATTATCAAAGGAATTTGCAGAGGAGAGCTCAGTTACCTAGGTTGGGCTGGACATCACTGAAGGAAAACCCTTCAATTTTTCAAAGTGCTGGGGGATTATGGGCAATCACCAGCTAGCCCCTCTTCCTGCAGCCTGCCCTAGAGATGGTGTCACAGGCAATGGCCGTTTTCAATACTTATCTGGCTCTGGTATGGTTAATAATAATACTAATATCTAGCTTCACTAAGCGCTTCCTCTATGATTTAATGGTCAATGCATATGATTTTATTTAATCCTTACAGCAACCTTATTAAATAAGTATCGTTACTATCTTTATGTTATTGGGGAAAATGTATGTACAAAGCCCAGAGGATATAGGTACAAAGTCACAGATCACAGAGCAGACCTGTTAGGATTTGAGTCTGGCTTCATCTGGCTCAGTACCCATGCTAACTATCACTATGTCCCACTTGTTCTGATGCTGCCTGGTGCTGATGTCTGTCACTCAGCTTTAGCACATCTGACCAAGACCTGTTATGTGCAGAGCTGAGGGCCAGGATCAGAGGTAGGGAAGAGAAATGAATCATGAAACCTGCCTGTGCTGAACCCATTGGCAGAGTGACCAAGAGTGCAAGTCTGCCTGGGACCATCACAGGTTGATCACCAAGAGTCTTGAATCCAGTGGGAGAGAGAATTCTAGGATGAATCCCAAGATTCTCAGAGCTACCAGTACACACACCTCCAGCTATTCAGTCACACCTCAAATCTAAGTGTTATTGGAAAGGGGTGGTGAAGATGAAATCGATAGGGAAATTGGCTGGGTGGGCCTGCCTTCATTCAGAGGAGCCCTTTAAATGTGGGTCTACAGGTCACAGGCAGAAAAGTCAAGTGTGGTCTGAAGCAGGATTCTAGAGGCTTTGAAACCAGAGAGTCACGTGGCAAGAAATGTGCCCTCTGAAAGCTTAGAGAGGTCTTCAGCTGAGAGCTGACAAGGAAATAGGACCTCTGCCCTCTGTCGCAAGAAACTGCATTGTGCTGGCAAGCTGAACGAGCTTCAGCATGGACTTCCTCCACTTGGCGGACACCTCAGTTAACAGCCTTTGAGAACCTGAGCAGAGAGCTCAGCCATGCCATGCCAAGCCCAGAGAACTATAAGCAAATGTGGGTGTTGTCCTGGGCTGCTCACTTTGTGGTCACTTGTTAAGCAACAATAGAAATGTGATACACAAGGAAATCCTCAGTCCCAGGCAAACTGGGACAGTTGGTCACCCTTGATGGGGGTAGACCCCTGTTACAGATGTTGCTGGGAAACCCAGGCAGTCTTTCTAGAAGAAATGTCCTGCCTCAGAGTAGTGTAGGATTTAGATAGGGGGGGAAGGGCTGAACGGCGCTCCAGAAGGAGAACATAGAACAGGCCAATACAGAGAGGCAGGAATGTGCAAGGGATGACCATGAGATGCCACCAGGCACCGATTGAGAGCCAATGCTTAGGGACAGAGGCTTTGTAACTTCAACATTGGACATGGGTCTGAGGATCACAAAAATGGCAACGAGATTGGCAGCAGATGGTGGTATGGTTTGTATATCATTTTGATACCAATACAGCTTCGCCTCTTCCCAGACACTGATCCCCCTGGGGATAGGAATGCGGCATACTTGGCTGTGCAGCCCTGGCGCCCAGAATCTGGCACAACACTGCATGCGCCCTAAGTGCTCAAGAAAGACACGGGTGACATGTTAATGTGGACAACATAACCCTCTTCAGGACAAACATGCAACCATATTGTTCCAGGGGTTGTCAAAAAGTTGGCAAGGTTGACCCACTATGCTCTCCCCCAGCCTGCTTCAGGACATGACCCTCAGCTCTGTCCAGGGCCCTTCCATGTCCACCTCAGGACCTGGGGCTCCCATGTCTGACAACCAGTCTCAGGGCTCTTCCATGAGAGCTGGATCGCCTTGGGCAAGGAACTTACCTTATCTGCCTTGGTTCTCTCCTAAGAAGGGCCCACTGCGGCCGGGTTATTGTGAGGGTTAATTGACTCAGTACAACACATCAAGCCTTGGCCAGAGTGGATTTTGGTAAGTTTAGTTGTTATTATTATAATCTTTATTTCAAGCAGTGACCAAGGTCTCTCTTTTGCCAACAACTTCAATTGGGCTCCTCAGAGTCCTCGGCTTGACAAGGCCCTATGCCAGGCTTCCCTCTCTGTCCTTGTAGGATCCAGTTTGAGCAAGAACCCCGCTAAGTGAGTTCAGTAAAATCTCTTCCACTTTAGGGACCTTATCACCTTGGCCTGCCTTCACCAATAACCCTACCACGCTTTTTATCCAGAAAACCTCTGATCCTTCCCTCTCAGTCCTTTTCTGTTTGCACCCTGCTGGTGCTTCGGTTATAAATTGTTATTTGTTCCCATTGGGGTTGGGTTGAGTACAGTCTCTCTCACCTACTGCAACAGGTTGCTGCACTGGTTCGATAGCCCACTTGAATAAAGTCTGCCTTGTCATTTTTTTTTTCTTTTTTGGTATCAAGGATTGAATCCAGGGACATTTAATTACTGAGCCACACCCCCAGACCTTTTTTATTTTTTATTTTGAGACACGGTCTTACTAAGTTGCTTAGGGCCTTGCTAAGTTGCTGAAGTTGGCTTTGAACTTGCAATCCTCCTGCCTCAGCCTTCTGAGCCTTTGGGATTATAGGCGTGCGCCACCACAGCCAGTTCTACCTTATCATCTTTAACAAGCATTTGCATAAATTTTTTCTTTAACAATAGTAATGAAATATTTGGTGACCGAAATCAATGGAGACCCTTCCTGCACCCTGCCCAACCCAAGGACATTTTCATTTTACTAGAGATTCTTAAAGCCAAAAATACTTATGCTGGGACCCAACTGGAAAGACTGCCCAGTGGAGGTAGGTCAGGCTGAAGGCCACTCAGTCAGGGACCTCCCCAAGATGAATGAGCAGAGCCCCTACTCGAAGGGTACTCCTCAAAATACAGTCAATGGGTCAGCCTCAGCCTCACCTGGCAGTTCATGGGATCTGAAGTCTTCTTCCAGACTCCCTGAGTCAGAATCTGCATGTGCATAAGGTCCCCTGGGAAAGGCACTGATTTAGATGGACTCATATCAGCCCTGCCTCTGGGCAACACAACATCTCCCTGACCTTTACTTAAAATTTACTTTAAAAGTTTAGTGTTCAAGCACGTAGACGAGCCAGACCACAAACTCTCAGCTGGCAAGAGATAATCTCATTTCTAGGGACAGCTGGCTCTTTGCATGTTTGAACAAACTGGCATTATCCAAGAGCTCTAATGGTCTGAAGTCAGGCTTAAAACTCAGCAAAAATAAACTTTCCAGGAAATTTCTGGCACACCCAGTTTCCAAACCCAAGCAGGAATGTTACCCAAGCGGTGGCCTCTTTCCCCACACTGAACTCCATTTCCCAGTTTGGGGCAGTTCTTTTTCTGGCCTTGAACTGACCACACACCATACACACACACACACACACACACACACACACGTGAGAGAGAAAACAGGGAAGCCACTCTTAGTGTGGAGGTTTGGATGAGTCTTTGGGAAAGTCCATTATCTCTTTTTAATACAATTAGTATTCAGCTTCTTAATGAAAATATCAGTTCAAAAGAATATCTTAAATCAGAAAGATATCAGATTTTCATCATCAGGGCTCAAAGAAACACACTTGTAAGTGGAAACAGAACCCACAGTCTGTCCTTCAGGGGATCAGCAATGCAATGACCTCCATTTTCTTATTTATCACATGATCAGAATGCCCAAATCTTCCTTGAAGACCAAAACTCTCACTGGCACATCTTTTGGGCCATTCACAAATACTCATGAATGGACCACTGTGTGATGGCCACTCTGGGGAATACAATAAGGCCCAATCCCTTCATCACAGGAAGCTTGCCACCCAGAATGGACACCTTTTGTTTGCCCCTGCAGACGCACATCTGCAGATGTCTCTGAAGCATATCCGTCAGTCGCAGTTATCTGTCGCTGTATAGTAAATCACTTCGCAGAGAGCCACGTACAACAGTGATTATTCGAGTTCTTTCATGGTGCCTGTGAGACAGGAATTCAGGAAGAGCTCCGCTGGGCAATTCTGGCCCTGGTCTCTCTGGTAGTTGCAGTCAGGGGGTGCTGAAGCCACTGGGCGTTGGTCATGAATCTGTCTCTTCAGTTAGCCACAGGGCTTCTCCACTGGTCACACTCAGGGTCTGGCTTCAGCTTCCTCATAGCACAGCAGTCGCCAGGAAGTCAGACTGTTTACATGACAGGCCCAGGCTCCAAAGGCAAGTGTTCCCAAAGAATGAGGCAGAAGCAGTATCATCTTTTATGACTAGTCAGAAGTCACAGTGTCATTTCCTCTTGAGGGTGAATTGTCAAAGTCACATTGTAAGAAGAGCTGTGGAAGGGCAGATATTATCATATCATTCCATTTTTGGAAAATGGAATCTGCAATAGAATTCCGTTAGAAAACAGATGTCCCATCTGAATTGGAATAATTCAAGGAGGATTTAACCAAGGCACTGGCTATGAAGATACAGACAAGGGTAGAGGAAAACAAGAGATAAGTGTGGTGTCTGAGGCTGCTGGTAACAGAACTTTCACCACCTTGTTCAGAAGGAGCAAGATAAGACTAAGGTGACAGGAACTCCAAAGGAGACAGGAGGTCAGGGAGGATCCCATTGAGAGCAGCTACCTGACAAGGAGCAGCCAGAGGAATTGTTGCCCTGACTGCCCTCTCCCCCTCCCTACCAGGGCTCCCTGATGTCTGAGTCAACAGGAAATCCAAAGGCCTGAGTCCTGGTTGACCAGCCTCTGGAGAAGAGAGGAAAGTGGGGAAGAATGGAGAGGCCCCCAAAGATACCCAACCTAACAAGTATCCATAGTATGAGAAAGATCATAATCTAAAGGTAGTAGAAAAGTCAAGGACAGAGTATATTTCTGCCAGAGGGGATTCTGAGCTATCCTAGAAGTACAAACATGGTGTGGGGCAGGAGTTATATCACTAGCAGACCACTGGACGTCTGGGATCCCACCCTTTATCTTAGGACGTATGAGTAGAATTCACAGTAGGGTCCTAGACAATGGGAAAGGGAGTTGTCCATCTGAGCAACCCAGAAAGAGACTAGACAATGTCTTCCGGACCTGACAGGAGTTACCTTGATGGAGGGTCCCTATTGATGTTCCAACTGCAAGGTCAGCTCATGCGGTGGTGGGAGAAAGACTTCCTGGGATAGAGACTGAGTAGCTGCAGTGGCAGTCAGTGCCCACCAGACCCCGGCCTGTAGGATTCCTGGAGACTGAGCCCTCCAATTCTCCTTTTACTCAATCTGGAGAATCTGCTTCTAATCTGGCAGTTAGGAAGTCTGGCTTCACATCTGTTTCCAAATAATCTATAATTTATTACATAAAATGTAAACTCAAAAGTCCAAGTCCTTAGAACTTCATATCCTTGACTTTTAAAACTCAAAAGCCAAGGTCTGTCTTAATAATCGTTCTCCTAGTTCTATATTTCCTTACGTCCCTTCCTTGAGGCAAGTGGTACGGAACTTAGCCCTATTGTTTTTGGGAGCTGAAGAGGATCACAACCATGTGGCCATGGTACATGGAGGGGTGTCACAATTCAAATCAGGAGGCATCAGGACCCAAAAGATCACTATAGGGGGGGGGCGGGTGGCCAAGGAAAATTTCATCTGATTCTCTGTGGACAGGATAGGCTTTCAAGAGGAAAAGGTGAAAGAAACATCCTGAGCAAACAGAAAAGAATGAGTATATTCAAGAAAAGATATAGTTTAGTTTGTAAGGTGCATGGGGTGTTTGTATGGAGATAAAAACAATTCTAGAAGAGCAGAGAGAGGCCAGGGCATGAAAGACCTTGGAAAAAGTCTTTCATTGAGCATTAAAAACCCACTGAAGGTTGTGCACACTGGTAGTTCATTCAGTCTGAGCTGAGTGCTTCAGAAGGATCAATGGGGTGACAGTGTAGAGGACACAGAGACTCTGATTAGGGTAGTGGACATAGATCTAGGCATAAACCCATCAGAGTCCTCTGCACCTGGCTTCATCACCATCTGGCTAGCCGGTCCGGATGCTTAGCTGTGGTGCCTTCCTGATCCCAGACCTGTCTATCCCATATCTATCTGCATGTCCCAAGAGCTCCTTAATTCAGAATGCCCCAAGAGGAACGCACCATTCCTTCTCCTTCATAGCTCCCATCCTGCCATATCTCTGCCTCCTTACTTAATTGGATATATTCTAGCTCCCAGGCCAGAAACCTGATATTCCTGGACTTCCCCTGCCCACTTCCTCCTCCCTAACCAAATAATCCCCTCCACCCTCTCCGTGCTCATCACAGCCAGATCCTTTTGAATCTCTCTTTTATATGTACTGAATCCATCTCCTTTTTGTCGTCACTGTGGCGCGACCCAAGGTCAAGCCATCAGGACCTCTCCTGCAGAGCATCCTGAGCCTGGGCAGCCGTCTCTCTGCCGCTCCAATTGCACACAGCTCCTCCACAGTCTTGTCTAAACACTCAACCTGATCATGATGTTTCTCCTTTAAAGACTTCTCTGGCCACCCATGGCCTAGAGCATCAAGAGAAAACTCTTGCATTTGGCAATTTAAGACCTTCAAAAGCCGACCTTGGTGACTCTTCCAGCCCCATCCCCCTGCGACTCGACTAGGCATAGGAGTAGATCCTTTGGCTCTCTGTATTCGGATGCCACAGCCTTCCTGGAAGCAGGAATATCATAGGCTAGGCACCCCCAGGCCGTGGTTTGGACTTGGAGAGGAAGGGCCTGGAGTGAAAGGAAGTCCTGGACTCAGCCAGGGGGAAGGAGAGCAGGGAAGGAGGAAGGGGATGATATCAGTCAGATTTTCATGATACTGTCTGCCAGCCAATCAAATGAAGAAGCATATGCTAACAAAGAAATATTTGAGTTGCTTCCTATTTAAAGACTGAAAAAAAAATTGAAAGAAAAAGCTTCAAAGAAACTACAGATTTGGGGAAGATCTTATTCTCTGAGGAAAGCCTAGTGAGCCTTCAAGTGAGGCCTCTTCTGGGTTCCTCTCATGATCCAAAACTGAAGATTTACTTGGTTTTTTTTTTTTTTTTTTCCTTTTTTTCCCTTTCTCTTTGCTGAAGCTTCCAGAAGAATTGGGAGGCCAATGGAACTAACAAACCTTCATAACCACTCTTCAGAGAAAGAGTGCTTACAGGGAGAAGGCCTCGCCCGGGGCCCAGTGCAGTGGGCAAACCATAACTAACCAACTTTCTTTTTCTTCTCTGACCCTCTGACTGCACTAAACATACGCGATCTTAGAGGAACAAGTTTGGGCTGACCTTATGGTGTCCCGTGAGCAGCCCTGGAGTCAGGAGACCCGGTTCCCACCCCCGCTGTGTCTCTAACTTACTGTGTGACATGGAGCCATCCTGGCCCTTTTCCTAGCCTCGGTTTCCCACTATATAAACAAAAGACTGGGCCCACTTGCACAGGTCCTCTTCTACTCAGGTCTCCCTTTCTTAACTTCAGACCTGTGACGATATTACCCCTCTTTGTATTTGTCTACCTCTGAATTTCACTCTTTGAATTTAGTCATCATCTTCTCTTTGTTTATTTTTTTCTCCTCATTCTATCTGCTCAGCCAAGCAAGGCATAACACTTGTCCAGCCTTTTTCCAGGCTCTTGACTTGGGTTTACAGAGTGGGTTCTGCCCACTGAATCTGTTCAGGACTTGACCTCCCTTGGCTAGGACTCCAGGAGTCAGCAAACCTTGGAAACCACATTGTCTAGGACCCTTTCCAGGCCCGAAGGAGAAGATACTATGGGATTCGTGCATGAAACATCATGCTAAATGCAAAAAAAAAAAAAAAAAAAGAAAAGAAAAGAAAGAAAAAAGCTTCAACAGTGGTTTCCATTTGTGTGATCCTATGAATTTTTTTTTCCAAAAGGGAAAATGAATTCAAAGGTGGTGTAAGGCTACTTACCTCCTACCAAGGAAGAAAAAAAAAAAAAAAACTAACCAAACTAAGACTGTGACATTTCTTCTAATGGGAAGAAAATCCCTCAGTCTCAGAGGGGGATTAGTCTCGACATATTGTGTCCACTTTTCAGAATATTTTTGGACCCTATAAAATCAATAGACTCCACAATAAGAATCTTGATGTATAATCTTACAAGATATTTACTCCTAAAGACAAAACATCAGGATGGATGACTGAGTTTTCTACTGAAGAAATGTCTTGACATCTCTGTGGCTCAGAAGGAGTGAGAACCCCTGAACCACAACAACCCAGGTGGACATGGACAGCTCCTCCCCATCAAGCAGCAAAGCTGCTTATTTTATTATGTTGTTGTCAGAGATCAAGATAACCAGGAAGACATCAGCTGAATCTAAAAGAAGTCAGAAAGCTAATAAAAACTGAAAATATCCAGCACAGGGGTGACCTGCTGTGCTTTGAGGCTTACACCAACTTTAGATGACAGGGGAAAAGACCCCAGAAGAAAGTGTTCAGACAGGTTTAAAATCTTTTTCTCCCAGGAAATTTCCTTCCAAGAATAGGAGAATTCTATTTCATTCTTTGAAATCACCTGCCTTCCCTGTCCATTCATTAGATGATATTTGCTGAGCATCTGTTATGTGCCAGTTACTGTGAAGATGGCAGTCCTGACCCTGGAGGGCTCACAGTCTAATCAGAGAAAAATATACTTAAAGAATGGCCAGTAATGAATGAGTACCCTGCTCCATTAAAACACACACACACACACACACACAGAAAGTAAACTCACTCCTATAAGAAATCATGCTGCTCTCCATCAACCACAGCCTGTTGGTGCCAACAGGAACTTTACAGATGTCCTGTTCTAACCCCTTCATCTCACACACGGGAGGCAGAGGAGAAGAGGTTACACAGTTTTAAAGCTTGGGCTAATATGTAATGAATTATTTCTCTTTTCCTGTTGACTTGTTCTATATCTCTCAAACCATTTCTGGAAGAAGATAGAATAGAAATCATACAACCAAAATACGTTTTCTGACTAGAAATCTACAAGACAGACCTCATCAATGCTTTTTAAGAAAGATGCCTATTCTCTTAATATTACTATAACCAATTCATTTTCATTTGCTTTGTCTGAATACTTAAAAGTGGTTCCTTAGCCCACCATTCCTCTCACTATTGCTATCTCATATGATCCTTCATAGAAAATCCATCATTTCTTGATGTTTTGCCTATATTTGTACATCATTTTGGAGTTTGTGTTTACTTGGGTAGTTTGAACTCAAGGTCTCCATTTTGAGAGTCAAGTTGGTGGCTCTGTAGCTTTAGCAGGGCATGGTGAGTAGGAAGAAGTCTGAACAGAGCTGAGCACATAAAGACAATGCCCGGCAACAAGACCTACAGAGCCAGGCAGAAGGCGCTGGGGTGCCTGGGACTGCTCTTGTAGAGCAAGATATCCAGGAGAGTCTATGGAAAGGATTTCAAGTACATGGAGTTTAGTGGACTGGAAGGGAGTGACCCAGCTAACACGTATTGAATAACTCCCGTGTGCAGGTAACCATGCCAAGGGATCCAAAAATAAAAAAAAATAAAAAAAATCAAGACACCCCCTTCAGAGCATGTCTGGATTTCCACACAACCTCCTTTTGCCACAGGGAATGGAAGACATGAATGAGCAGAAGCCACCAGGCACAGACAGTGAGTGAACCCAACTCCTGTTGTGTGGCCTAGGCTTCTCCAGCAGGTTTGGCTGCTTGCAACAGGGAGGAAGGAAGGAGGTGAAGCTGCTCACACATTGCCAGGCCATCTGCCCACCTTCCAGAGCTGGGCGCATTCACGCAGAGGTGGCGAGTTATCTGGGCTGGGGATGGTAGACCTGAGCCCCTTGCCTTGAATACCTTCCAGGCTGAACTCTTGAGCACTACTTCATTTAAAAGCCCCTTATATGGATTCTCATGAGTGAATTTCTATTTGCTTTATAGACAATGGAATTTTAATGTTTACCTAGGCTGAGAGAGGCCAAAAGGAGCATTTGAGTGATGTTTTAAAGTTGGGGCTGAGTGTTCCTGGAAGTGCAGAGGAGCAGGCAGGGAGAGTTCCAAGAAGGGTCACAGGGCTGGGACAGGGAGCGAAGGGAACCAGGTGGGGCCAGCTGCAGGGGTAGCAGAAAGACGAGCTGATCCCTTCACATATATGAAGGGTAAGAAGAAATCCCCACAGAATTCGCAAATCAAAATTAAAGGGTAACGGGGAGGAGCACAGGAAATGCAAGTGCGGGAGGAGCAGAAATCTTACAAAGCAACAGTAAAGATAGCAAGGAGGGAGGGGTCGGGAGCTGGTTTAACCAGCATCAGACCAGCAGCTGGAGCCTCAGGCCCACCTCTAGTGCTCCACGCATCTGGACAGCAGGTCCTCTGGCTAACTTAAAATAGCCCCGGCCCTGCTCACCAGACTGACCACAAACTCTTTGGCACATAGCCCTTGGCCTCCATGTACTGGCCCCACCCACCTTCCAGACTCTTCACTCTGCTCTTACCTGGCCCTGCAGCTCCATCCAGATCCCTTCCTGCAGATCGTCCCTCAAGTCTCATCTCATGTGCCACCCACTCCAGGCGGCCTTCCCTGACCCTCTCTATGGCTTCCTGCTTTCCCCTAGGACCCCCATGGCACACTGTCTTCTTTATGACACTTTAATTTCCTCCCACATTTCAACAATTTGTGTGCTTCTCTAAGCTCCCAACCCTGTCCCTCATTCAAGAACCTCAGGGATACCAGGCAGGCATGGTGGCCCACACCAGTGGCCCATGCCCAGCAGCTTTGGATCCTTCTGCAGCTGGAGGATCGTGAGTTCAAAGCCAGCCTTAGCAATTGAGCAAGGCTGTAAGCAACTCAGTGAGACCCTGTCTCTAAATAAAATACAAAAATAAATAAATAAATAAATGGGAGAGGATGCAGCTCAGTAGTTAAGTGCCCCTAGGTTCAATCTCCAGTATAAAAAAAAAAAAAAAAAAGCCTTCAGGGACAGAGGCCCAATCTCTTTCTTCTGTGTATCACAGCACCATGGCAGTGTACAATGTTGAATTGCATTACAGCCAATGTATGCCCGGGACACAGTTTTTGTTTCCGTATCATTTCAATGCTGTTAGATATCTGGCTGCATCTAGCCAGGAAAGGCTAGGAGGAAAGCTAGTAAGCTATTTGTTAAAAAGAAGTCAAACCAGCCAATCAAAGAGATGTTCCTTCAAGAGATTTACAATCCACCCACCCATGGATGTGAGCCAGTATAAGCTGAGTCCTGAAAAGCCTATGAAGATGAGTGAGACAAAATCCTCACTCTCACATCTGTCAGCCTCCTAGGAAAACACAGTGACCGCAGATAAGGCTGCAAGGAGGAGCAGCGGGAGTCCAGAGAGGGACTGCCTCTGTGCATGGTGAGGAAAGGGTGGGAAGCAGGAACTGCAGCCAGCTTCACAGAGCGGGGGACAGTCCAGCTGGACCCTAACAGGCAGCAGGAAGAAGTGTGTCAGGAAGAGGAGCTGGAAGCTACTCCAAGGACAAGGAGCAACAGGTGCAAAGGGACAATCCTGATAGTCCACATTCAGTGAATGTCTAGGTCAGCGAGCCCAAAATTCAGCGTGAATCAATCCACGTTCTTCTACTGCTGATCTGGACCTTAAAAATAGAAATACATTCACAAATTAGTGATGAATTCCAGAAGAGATCATGTTTACTGCTAAAATAAATGTCTTTTCTTATTTCTTCTCCAGTGATTTGATGGCTATTTTTCTGAACTATATTTCTGATTGTTAGAAAACAAGTGCCTTCAAGCCAGGGGTGGTAGCACACACCTATAATCCCAGTGACTCAGGAGGTTGAGGCAGGAGGATCACAGGTTGGAGGCCAACCTCAGCAACTTAGCAAGACTCTGCCTCAAAAATAAAATGTTTTGGGGGTATACCTCAGTGGTAAGACACCCCTCCGTTCAGTCTCTAATCCTAAAAAGAGAGTGAGAGAAAAAGAAAGACAGAAAAAGAGAGAGCGAGAGAAAGGAGGAAGGGAAGGAGAGGGAAGGGGAAGAGTACCTTCAGAAAGTTCACGTGGGTCCCAGAAATAAAACTCAAAGGCAGCGCAGGATCAGAAACCCATGCTAGCCCATACAAGAGGCAACCTCATCATATTCTCTGAACTACCCGGACAAGTGGAGTGATTTCACTCCTTAAAGCCAGGGGAGAGGTAATTGAGGGCCTCTAAGCTAACGTGGACAGGCACAGGGCTCATTATAACCTTTCATTTGCTCTATCAGTTATTCTCAGAGGACGTCGGAACGTGAATGCAGCCAGAGGTCTCTTTTATAAGAGCATAAATGCAGGAGGAACTATTGATCATAACTGCTGGGAGACTGTTTGGCCAAATACAGGGATCTGAAGCCAGAAAATTTATCTCCAGTACACACAGGCAGAAAGGCGGTGTGACTGAGTGAGACAAAGGTTTGGATCCAGAAACACCCCCCCACCCCCCCACCCCCCCACACACACGTACGTTAAAGTAGACTTAAGTCCACCCTGTGAGGTAGGAACTGTTGCATTATTGAATTACTGAGATGAAGTCAAGGTGGTATTACACAATACTATATCTGTGATCTCAAGTTGATCCCAAGTGATCACACAAGGTTTTGCATACCCAGAATTTATGATCTGACAAGTTTCTCTTAAGAGGCAACATGCTGTGTTGTTACCAGGACTGTTTGTTTTCCTTTTGGAATCACAGCCTGGGTGGGTCTGCCGACCCAGAGCTACAGTTTGCTATGGAGAGAAGGGACAGGAGTGAGTCCTAAGTCCAGCTGTTCCATTGGTCATCCACTCCTTAATATACTCTCTGAAATAGCTACAAGTGTGTTAAAAAGAAAGAGAAGCAGGCTGTGTCATTATGAGCTTGAATGAATCACTTCTCCTTTTTAGAACTCAGGGAAAGGGGATTAGGGTGGGTGGGGGGTCAGGGATTAAGCAAACCCTGAGATTCTTAAAATTTCCTGATTTCACTGATTCCTAAACTTCCTCCCATTTTGGTTTAGGGATGATTGTGGGGCAGGGGAGCTGTGTTTCCTTGAATTCTGTAGTCAGGACCACACAGATTTAGGGTTGGGGGTGGCAGTTCACCTAGGCAGTTCACCTAGATTGTTATGTGAACACTTCCTGCTTTTCAAAGCCAGAGGTTTCTTATGTTTTAAGTTTGTATAATGGAGGTATAGTCTATGGTTTGGATCTTGAGTGTCCTCCAAAAGCCTGTGGGGTAAAGCCTTGGTCCCCAGCATGGAGCTACTGGGAGATGGGGGCTGCTGGAGGGGTGAAGTCAACGAGGGCATGCCCTTGGAGGGACTATGAGACCCCAGCCCCTTCCTCCTTTTCTCTTTTGCTCCCTGGCCCTGAGGTGAATGGTATTTCTCTGCTACACTCCTCCACCATGAGGTGCTGCCTCGCCCGTCCCAGGTCCAAAAGTAACAGGGCAAATTGATCATGGACTGAAAACTCCAAAACCATGATTTACTAGCAGATTTTCATTTTTCTTTTTTTTTCAGATTTTCTTTTTGAAAGCTTATTTTCTCAGGTATTTGTTACAATGATAGAAGGCTATCAGTATTCTATAGAGGAAAAAGCATAAGACAAAATAAAAGTCCTGGATTTGAGTCTAGACACCAAACTAACACCTTAAGCTTGTGACCAGGGCACACCCGCATTATAGTGAATCAGTTTAATTATGGGTATAATGAATGTGGTGGACAGAGTCTGAGGAAGCCCCCAGGTCCATGCTTCTTGGTATCAAAGCCCTTGTGGGATCCCCTCCCTTCAAGTATGGACAAGTTCTGTGACTTGTTTCTAACCCACAGAATATGGCAAATGCAGTGGGATGTCACCCGCATGATCGTATTACATAGAGTTGTGACACCAATCTTACTGGCAAACTCTCTCTGTTGACTGGCCCCTTGCTGGCTTTGCTAGAGTCAGCTGCCATTAGAGAGGCCCACATGAGAAGGAAATGACAGTGGCCTCTGGCTGAGGAAGAATGAAATCCTGTCAACAACTACATGAGCTTGGAAGTGGATCTTCCCCATTCAAGTTTCAGATGAGCCCCAGCCTTGGCCCATACCTGATTAAAGCTACATTAATTTCACCCATAGGTAAGAGGCCAGGAAACAGGGGATCCAGTTAAACTGTGCCTGAAACTCCTACCCTACAAAACTGTGAGAGAATAAATGTGTGTTATTTTTAAGCCACTAAGTTTGTGGTCATTGTTATGCAGCAATAGCTAATTAAGACAATATAGCAGCTAGAAGCTTCCATACCTGACATCCTATGAGCATGACAATGACATCCTCATGCTACCAGTATAACACACAGAAATATGACATAGACAGAAACTGTCACTGCTGCTGTCACTGGGCCAAGCTGAGAATCATGTATCTTTCTAGAATTCCTAGGGTACTTGTTCTGTGTGGAGATTCTCATTTAATTATACCTCATTTTCGGGCTCTGTGCTGCTGACGGCAAACGCTGCATTTACACACAAGTCTTGTATTACTCTGAAATTAATGAGACATCAACCTGAAATGAAATGCCTCCAACAGGAAACAGTGTTTCTTTGGGACATTCTGAGGAAATTAAGCAAAAGGTTTTGGTATGATTATTTAATATTGTTGGTTCTGAGAGAAAGATTCATGCAGAAACTTTGCTGAAATGAATTCAGTCTGAGGAAGAATTAGTCCAGCAAGAGACTTCCATTTCTGCACTAAAAAAAAAAAAAAAAAAAAGTCCTATCATAACCAGGAGATTAATAGCAGATAAGGATACTGGGTTTCTAGCTGGGTCTGATGGCACCTGCCTGTAATCCCAATGACTCAGGAGACTGAAGCAATAAGATTGCAAGTTCGAGGACAGCCTGGCAATTTAGTGAGGTACTGTCTCAAAGTAAAAAGTAAGGGCTGGAGATATAGCTCAATGGAAGAATGCCCCTGGATTCAATGCCAAGTACCACCACCCCCGCCCCCCCCACACACAAGAAAATAATACTCATCTTCTTTTTACTTACATATTTGCTTCCACCACAGAGGGCTCAAGCATTAGCAAGCTGCATGCTAACACATCTTGTTCTATCCAAGTCTGCTTTTCTGGACTCTTGACATCCCCTACAAATAATTGTGGACTGCCTCACTTTGAACAGAAAAGGAAGGGAACCCAAGTTTGATGTGCTTCTGGAGTGATGGCTGCTGGAACATCGGAGAGGGGTGCTGAGAAAATTCGACATGGGCATGCATCTCCATAAGTGAGGGGGCTGGGGTGTGTGGCTGAAAAAGTGAATGCTGCTCCCTCCCTGGGGCTTCCAGGCTGGTGGGGGAGCTGGAGGTTCTATTCCAATAGCACTGGAGAGGCGCTGAGACGCAGCAGACTTAGAAGCATGAAGTAACTGGAGGAGATCAGAATAGTCAAAGATCAGTGAAGGGCTGGAGGGAAAGGGGACGCTTAGTGTTTGCATGCATGCATGCATGCGTGAATGAAGTCCTCATTCTTGCCTGAGAGGCCTAGCAGCACCATTTCCTAGGGTTTCTCCCTAGCACTTCTGGTTTGTCTCTTAAGGAGGAACAAGATCCACCACGGCCCTGAAAGCCATTTACAGACACACAAATAGGAAAGACATTTGAAACGACAAAATATAATCCCATAAATAAAGGAAGGGGGCCTCCTCGGTTTGGTGAACCTGGGGGAAATTGGGGCCCCTCACAGAGAAGGGAATTCCCCAATGACCCTTGAAAAACCCCAGCAAAAGGCTGAATTAGGCAAGGGGTTAATTGACATTTCTTGAATTGATTTAAGCTATAAAAGTCTCCTGCTGCTCGTGGCCCCAGTGGAGGCCCCTGAAGTCCCAGGTCGAAGACCGAGCACTGCGCCCTTGATTCTCCGCCTCTGGCCTTGGCGCAGCGCGGTAGCGTGGCGGAGCAGCAGTGGGCGACTCCCGCCCCGCATCGGCCCTGGCCATCGCAGAGCCCCAGCTCCTTTGTGGCGCACTCCCGGCGCGGTCGCCTTTGTGCCTCGGGGGCCGCACGCCCCACTGCGCAGCCGCCTTCTGCAGGGATCACCCCTGCCGCGGCGCCATACCTGGCCCTTTGTCACCAGCTGCCAAAGAATTCAGAAAATCAAATTTATTTCCCGATTACTGTCGCAGCGCCTCTTTGTACCGGGGGTCTCTTTAACTGTTGAAATTCCAGCAGACATTGTGAAGGCCTTTATGGCGCAAAATAAAAGCCGCCGGGGTCCTGCCGCCCCTCCCAGCTCCTCTGGCTCCCGAGCCCCTGTGGGAACCGGGCAGAACTTCTCCAGGAGCCAAAGCCCCAAGCCCGAGGGGCTCACGCGTCTTCCTGCTTGCCTGCTAAAGGGATGAATCGATAAGCATCTTGAGTCCAGCAGGGTCTACTTCCCTTTTTCACCCACTGGGGATGAATAGATGAATGATAACTCCACGTCTTACAAGCCCAGCACGGTCCCCGACTCTCCGGGCAAGTCCAGTCTCATTCTGAGTGTGCAGCGCTACCAGCTCCACCGGAGCCTCGGTGCCAGGCTGATTGGAAAACGCCTCTCCTGTTCTGGATTCCCAGGTTATAGATGTTGCCTTTCCTTTCCTCCATTGCGTTGACACTTCCTGAAAGGAACACAAAACGTTGTCTTGCAGAGTTTTTACTCCCTTTTGCTTTCTCTCCCCCCCTTCCTTTCTTTCCTTTCCTTTTTTCTTTCTTTCTTTTTTTCTTTTTTTTTTTTTTTTGTAATTACATAGGAACATAGATGTTCTTTTAATTTTTTGAAGAAAACCATTAAGAGGCAATCTGGAGAGGGCATGCGCTCACAGCACATACCACAGCACTTCTATCTGCTTGACAAGTGAAAATATGCACAACTCTAGCGAGGCGTCAACATCGGTCCAGCAATAAATAACTCTGGTGTGAAAAGTTACAAAGACGATCATAATTTATATGCTCATTAGAAAATAATACATAGTACTATAACTTGAATTAGATGGTCATGGGAAAAAGAAATCTATAATAGAATTAGATCCATTGATTGTAAGTTATACTTGTTATAAAGTTTTTGCAAACTCCTTAAAAATAATAATACAGAGCACTTAATGTGGTAGTCTTTTCTTCCCCCTCCCTACTGTTTATTATTATTACTGTGAGAATTTGGAGATGCCACTCAGTCATTCTGTGCTACAGTAAGTAAACATAAATCAATGCCAAATTTTCTAACAGCATTCCCCTCTATACACATGTGTCTCTACACACACACACACACACACACACACACACACACTAGCGCTTGGGCCACTCAGCTTCCCCATAATTTCACAAAAGAGTGACTCTAATGTTTGCTGCTTCGTGGGGAGCCAGTGGGCATGGCGGTGAATTGGATACCTACACCAGAGAGGGCCTGAGAGGCGTAATCAAATAAGGGAACCACTTGAACTGCTCTCCCAGCAGGAGCAGGAGGGAGGCCTTGAGAGGTTACAGGTGCTTTTCATCCAGCCTTGCAGGAGAGCACCAACTTCCTGCTGCTAGAAATTTGTCTGCAAATTTTTCCCTCATTCAGACAGAGAGCTGGGGTCCAAGTGACACTGGGTTGATATGATAACTTGATTAAGTCTGGGGACAGATGACATGGGAGCACCAAGTCAGCTCAAAGGAATCTGTGCTCTCCTCTTTAACCTCTCCTTGGGAGCCTACAAATTATATCTATTAATGTATCAGCCCCCTGGCATTGCACAAAGTCCGTGTCTGCTTAAATGTGTGTCAATCACTCGCAGGGGCTTGTGTGGGATTCCCAACACATTTTCATTTTTCTCTGCTCCATCTTAAACAAACGTTTAACCTGAAGGTTGTTCAGGCTAAGACTCACAGTTCCCTCCTCCTGCTAAAATCACTTTGGAGGTAGAAGTCGGCAGAAGTGTTCAGAGTTATCTTTAAATGGGCCCTAGACAGCTGGAGCTTATCCTGGGGGAAGGAAACTGTGAGGAAGAAGGGTTTGGAAACTCCATCCAATGAAGCATGGTGGACCACAGGGGAATTAGCCTGGAGAAGAAAAAACAGAGAAAAGTTGAGAGCTGAAGAAGTGCCAGGGGAAAACGGATGAGTTTTCTGAGGGTCCCAGGAGAGAGCCCTGGGAGAAACAGGCGTTCACCAAGTGCCAGCAAAGTGCCTAGTTGAAAAATGGGCCACGTGCAGGGGCCGCCCTCGTGGATGTGAGGACATCTGCAGTGTGGTCCAGCTGCACCAGCCAGACACAGCCTCCCCTCCTGGTCTCTGACCCCAGAGCCAGTCTGCACAAGACAGATGAAACTTCACTTCAATAGTGTGGCTTTTTTTTTTTTAATCGAGGCTTAATTTAAAAAGTGACAAAATGTACAATGTACTCTTCACTGAGTATGGTAAATGAAACCTGGGTATCTACTGGCTAGTTAGGACACAGAACATTTCCATTACCCGCAAAGTTTCCCCTGTGCCCCCTTATTAACCTCCTGAGACTACAAGAAATGTGCTAATCTTATCCTTCCAGTAGAACATAGGGTCTCTATGATATAATAAGAACTTTATAATAAATGGCAGGCTGGTATCATGGAATAATGATTATACTGGGAGGGAACATGTCTCCCCATGGCCTGCCAATCACTATTTTGATTTCTAGCACCCTCAGTTCATTTGTCTGCTGGAGAACTACATTTAAGTAGATTATACAACAGTATTCTAGGTGTCTTCCTTCTCTACCTTTTGAGATTCATCCTTATACTTTGCTTTGTTTTCTTTGCTGAGTAGGATTCCCTAGTGAGGATCTAACAAACTGGTTTATCTTTTCTGCTGAGAGAGATACTTAGGTTGTTTCTTATGAAAGCCTATTATGAATGTAGTGCTATTAATGGGTTTATAGAATTTTTTCATTTCTGGGTCACAGGATTGGGATATAATCCAAATGCCATTTTAAACACCATTGCAAAATAAGGAAAGCCCACAGGTCATGATTGGTGTGGTCTCCAGTCAAGACAGGAAGGATTTTCTGGGACATGACATTTTCTAGCTGTTGTCCCCATCCTTCCTAAAATTCACAAGTTGCCTCTCCATTCCTCTCGCTGGTGGGCTAGAGGCAGATACTGGGACCAATCTAGGTGGCCTGGGAATTTTCATGAGCAAGAACATCTACTGCAGCAGAATGGGTGTTGGCATCATTTGTGTCGGCTCAAAATATCTGGATGTCCATCAACTGAGCTCCTACTAGGTGCTGGACCTGGGTGGGGAATGTGGCTAGGACTGTGGAAAGAGAGATGAATTTGATAAGGTCTCTGTCTTTAAAGAGCTTGCAAGTCTAGAAGGAGAAATAAATAAGAATGAAACCCTAAGTGGACATCCAGCAAACACTTAAAAGTGTGCTGGTGCTGGTGTTCTGGGGACATGGCCAGACCAAGCAGAGCAAACCCCTCTGAGCAATGGGAGAAAAACCTTCCACCCTGGGAGAATGGTCCCATTCAAGAAAGAGGACATCAGATGGAGGGAAAGTTGGATTTGGACTTGGAACAGGTATTTGAGAGCCTAGGTCAGTTTAGCCACCTAGAAACAGGAAGCCAGGTAGCCCCATATGGGTTTATCACCTCACTTCAGGTGGCCCTGAGAGTCACATTGGCATTAAGGGTTAGAAAGTCACACAAACCCATCAAAACACAGAATATTGGTCTTGGGAGGCCCTTTCCACACCATTCCAGGAACAGATGAGGAAACTGAGGTCCAAGGTAAGAGAAGATACTTTCCCAATGACACAGGGGGAAAAAAAAACATTTTCCCTCCCAATACAATCATTATTCTATTACACCAGCCTGCTATTTATCATAAAGTTCTTATCATATAATAGAGAACCTCCACTGAAAGAATAAGACGAACACATTTCCTGTAGCTTCATCAGGTTAATCAGATTTTGCCTGTGAAATCACACTTTGCCTATAAACAGCTGTTACACTCAGAGAGACATATTTTCATCCAGAAGTTATCCAAACGGTGTGATAAAAACAGTAGGACCATGTTATGATAGGGCCTGTGTGATTTGGGCTCATTCATCCTTATACAAGTTATTTTATTTTTCTAATTGTTAGGCTTTTGGTTTATTTCCTGGTCATTTTTCTATACACAGGCTTGACAACTGTATAATCACAGAATACTATATAAACAATTTTTATATTCTGCTTTTTTCTCTATTATAGAGTAAAACTTCCTTGTTTTGGCCAAACCACTTCAATTCTTAAAAACATGGATGTATATTGCATTACTGCAAGCGGTGGGGATGGAAGGGGGGTTGTGAGTCTATTGAGTTTCCATACTGCCTTCCAAACAGTTATCACTGAATTTGTTTTGTTTAAAGAGGAAAAAAATGTATTTCAGCTTATGAGAATTTGGCAGGAATTCTTTTAAAATTAATTTGCAAACCAGAAGGAACAAAGATAGCAATTTATGATTCCTTATAGTATTTTAGTGGTAATAAAATTTATAAAGTACTTGAAACGTGCACAACATCTTAAACTTTTTGAAACACTTTTTTATGCATCGTTTTTAAGGGAACCTCTGTTGAGCAGCAAGACAGGTGCTATCTCTCTTTTACAGACTGAGAAAATAGAGGTCTGGGGGTGAGTGACTTGTCAAGATCATATAGCAAGTCAGGCTACACTGGCTTTCTCCACAACACTCTTTGCCCACCGAGCAATACAGCACCACTCAACAGCCCAGCTGGCACCCAAACACAATGCAGAGCAGCCCAGCACTGCTAACAGAGTAGTTTTTGAGTTAATGGTGAGATCTACGACCACAGATTTTTTTCTTAACACACAGTCTTCGTTTCTATAGGTCTTCTGCCAGAAACCTGGCTGCCTACCTAATAATTCACAATGCCCGGTGCAAAATAAAATGGCTGGCATCCTTGTTCAAAAACCAAGGGAAATGTGCCAGTAAAGGTCCTGAAATGTAAAGCTTTTTCCTTTTCTCTGGTGGTTTTTCTCACAACTTATAATGGTAGGTTTTTAAATTTTATAATTAATGTCATTCTAAGTAAAGAAAAATGGAAAATTTTAAACTGTTAGAATAAGTTTTAATCTATTCATCTTTATTCTTTAATTGAGTTATAAAACAACTTAATTTATAAATCAAATATTATTTATAAAATAATTTTGTGGCTCTGGGGATTGAACCCAGGGGGCTCTACCACTGAGCCATATCCCCAGCCCTTTTCATTTTTCATTTTGAGACAGGGTCTCAGTGGTTATCAAGGCTGGATTTGAACTTGCAATTCTCCTGAATAGCTGAGATCGAAGATATTGCAGTTTATCTTTAAATTGTACAGTGCCAGTCTTAAATACAAATCCAAAGGCGTTGAACTCCTAGATAGAATCATGGAAGTCACAGGAGTTTTATTTTGCAGCCCTTACATGCACGTATTTTGTTGTTGTTGTTGTTGTTGTTGTTTACCAGAACAGTGGCAGTCACAAAACTAAGCCTGCTGAGGTTCTGCTGAGGTTCTTGCTCTGGGAAATGCACACACAGGCTCCAGCCCTCTCTGCTGATGAGGTTAACCCGAAGGACGAGGAGGTATGTATGGTAGGAGAACTATCTCCTTCTGTTGTTATTTTAGCATAGACAGTTGGCTGATACAGAGAAGGAAGATGAGTAAGAAAAGATATGGTAGGGTCCTTTGGTCATTCATGTTTCTTAGAATGTCATTGTCTTTGATCCAATCGTTCCATGTGGTTCGAATGGAAAACCTAGTCTCTGAGTACCATCAGCACCCCCACCCCCACCCCCTTCACTCACTCAGCTGTGGCCATGACACACCTTCCTTGGGTCTCACAGAACTCCTGGACCCCCTGGATTTCTGCACCCCTGGGACATGGAGATTGTTGTGTGGACAGGGTAACAAGGAACTGCCATTGCATAAACCATTTGTTCTACTGTCTCATCTGATCTTACTTTCCAAGCAGAGGCTTCAGCTTCAACATGAAATTACCAAAATGTGAAGATGGCAACAGCAGAGTGTCAAACCAAGCACAGCGTCCTCCTGAGCACGGAATCCTATGCTGCCGGTCGCATGCCAAGGTCAGCTTTGACTATGACTAGTTCAAAGGCTTTGAGGGTGTGGACATGTCTCTGAGGGCTGAACTGTAGGTGAACTTCTAAGTGAGATCCAAGGTGGACCTGCCTTGCCACACCCCTGGGCCAGATGCGCCTCAGGAAAATGTCATCCCAAACAGAAGATGGAGCTCCCAGGTCTGCCCCACCCAAGATCTACCTGGTGGGGCTGGGCAACTTGGGGATCAGGAAGGGGAGGGGCAGGTACAAATGAGCTGCCTACAGCTGGAGTAGAGTGGAAGAAGTCTCATGGAGGAAATGCTATCATGAATTCACCTAGGGATATTCTTCTTTCTCTACAAATAACATGGGTTTATTTGTTCTTTTATTTATCATTATTATTATCATTGGTACTAGGGATTAAATGCGGGTGTGGGGGGGAGCTCTACCGCTAAGCTATATCCACAGCCCTTTTTATTTGATTTCAAGACAGAATCTCACTCAACTGCCCAGGCTGGCCTCAAACTTGCAATTCTCCTGCCTCAGCCTCCTGAGTCATTGGGATTACAGGTGTGCGCCACCACGCCCAGCTCAAGATAATGTTTTAAAGAAACTCATCAGTGAAGGTATCTCTTCTGATGCATTATACAATCTAAAATCCTTGGGTCACAGCTCCAATTCTTGATGTATGACTGAATAGATTGCTTAACTGCTCTGAGCCTCCCTTCACTTACCTGCAAAATGGGAAGAACGTCTCCTAATCCCGAGGCAGGTCCTCACGAGAATTCCAGGGAGAAGGGAGGGTAAGCTATACATCACTGTCCACACGACGGCCGACACGTTGCCCTGGCATGTTGGAAGCCTATGTAGGGACACTCCATAGCTCATGCAGACGCCGTCAGGAAATTTCAGTCTGGGGCAGAGTGATTTACAAAGCCTGCTCAGAAGTGGAGTCAATTAAGGTCAGCTTTCTATGTTGCTAAACAACAGGGGATTCTGGGTTCAGTAACCTTGAAAGGCAGGCCCAACACACCCCTTGAGAGCGGGCTTTTCAGAGGGTTCAAAGGAAGGCGAAACAAAAGCCCCTCTTTGTGATGTTTTCACTCTTCCTTCATTGTCCTCTTTCACCCTCTGAGGGCCTTCCTGTAAAGAAAGGGGCTGCTAATGTGCGGAGTGGGAGTTTAAAATTGTCCAGGGCCAACAATGTTGGCACATTCTGCCGGGCCTCATTACAGAACCATCTGAAATGCTTGGGAAGTGTTTCCCACTCATTAGCATAAATAGCAGAAAAACTCTTTCACAAACAAAGCAGGTTCCATCTGCCCCCAGTATGTCCTCACCTTGACTTCAAATGGCCAGTCCCTCCCCCAGCACAATACCAGGGGCGCAGGCCTCCAAGGCCCCAAACACCCCACTTCAGAATGGCATTCAGTGAAATATCAACACGGTAACCTGCATGTTTATTCATTGGCCAGCCCCCTCCTTTTAATGGAGTCCGTGCCCATTGTGGCCACTTGATTCTTTCACAGACCTGAAAGGGACAGGCAGGGAGAGGCTTGCTCTTGGAGCTGTGGGGAGCCTTAGCAACCCACACCTTGTGAGTGGGTCGACCGGGCTAATTAGGTTTGTTCTGCCTTTTTGGTCCAAGCGGATTTTGTCAGGTATTCGGCTATGGGATTAAAGAGTCATTAATCACCCAGGCCTGACGCTGACAAGGTGGCTTTCACGATGAAGTCCCCTTCCTGGTGTGGGGAGCCAAGGCCGGATCTGTTTTGCATTACACTGCAGAAGAATGGAACATGGGCTGCTTCTTCCCGGTCCACCTCAGAGGACACCAACCAGGGGGTCCTGGCCTTAAAGAGTCTGGTGCCAGGAGCAAGACAGCTTCAACCTCCAAGGCAAACATGTTCACAGCAGCTGGGCGGAGGCGGCTGGGCTGCAGGAGGGCATCTCCCAGAACAAGATCATAGTACCAAGGAACTGGGGTGGGGGACCTTAGTCACCAGCCACCCAGCACCACTGAAGAAAGCACTGAGGCTCAGAAAGGGAAAGAGCCTCTCCCAAGGACACACAGCAAGTCACCATGGGATTCAGGATTTAAACTGGGCATGTCACCTCTCTTGCCATTATAACATCGTATGCGAATCTATACTTTTTGTTTTGTTTTGTTTGAGGTGCTGGAATAATCGAAGTTATATGCCATTTTTAGCAAGATGGCATGACAAAGAACTCAGCAACTACTAGTTCTCACTCAACACAACAGTTCTCCTAAGTAGGTATTGTTGTTTCTTCTTCTTTTTTTTAATAGACAAAGAAACCAAGATACAGAAATTTTCCATAGCTCTCTCACAGCCTAGCTCCCGTCCTGCACCTGATTGCCTTATGAAAAGATAAGAGTTCTCTAAATCCAGGTGTTCTCATGAACTTTCATTATTACTTACATAAATCATAAATTCAAAGCTTAGCTCAGGTAAACATCAGATTATCTTGATTCATTAAGTTGTTTCCCTTTCATCTCTTACACTAGTGATAAGCTTATCTCCGCTGATGTTTTTCTTGCTTTTCTTTCTTCGTTTATTCTTTCAGTAATATAGCAAACATTTATTGGGCACCTATGATTCCAAGTGCTGGGAATACCAAGATTTATGCCCCTTTTCTCATGAAGTGGTTAGAAAGGAGCTTCTCACCAATGAGGGAGTAAACCAAGAAAGAGGAAGACAGACTGTGGGAAACAGCCAGGTCTGGCAGAGAAGGGCAGTGCAGGCAATCCCTCCGATGCAGAGGGGGATCCCAGAATCCACCTGATGCAGAGGGCAGCTGCCCGCGCTGCTGCAGGGAGAACCCAGGACAGGCTTCTGCCCTCAGATGATTGTGACGGAAGACTCAGTCATCTAAGCACGTGTGGAAGGGATTTAAAACTTTGGCAGAGTTTGAACTTTAATGATTGCTTAACACAAAGAAAACTACACCAAAAGAAAAAAAAGTTCAGACAGCTACTCATTCCAGCAAAGAAAAAGTAATCACAGAGTACTGCAGAACTCCATTCAAAGTATAATTTACATTTTCATATTGTAAATAGGGAATGTTGAATACACTACATTAGCACCTTACAACATCAGGAGGCTGTGGAATGGAAGAGAAGCTTATATATCATTGGGGGTGGGGTGCCAAGGCACAGGATGAAGTATAAACTCAGCTTTCATTGTAGAAATTCAAGAGTTAATGGTTACAATGAAAAGATCAAAACACAGAAAGACATGCACACTGGAGCTCTCTCTTGCAGAACTATTTGAATCTCTTAAGTTTTATGCAGGTATAACTTCAGTAAAGGCAAAAACTATAATCAAAAAGCCACTGGCTTATTGATTTTAAAGTCAGACATTGTGTTGGTTGTCAAGGGGTCCCAATGTCATTGGGAAGTTGTTAGTCAAGAAATGTTTTAAGATACCTGGGAAGTACTGGCCCTTTTGCAACCATTGTCCAAGCATGGAGTGAGAGAGCAAGGAAGTTCCAGGTGAGGGAGGACCAGTGTTTTGAATGAATGTAATTGGGGAAGGAAGGAAACTATGAGGAGCTGGAGCCAAGAACATTGATGTTTGGAAACAGGATGAGGTGGCACAATGTTGGAGAGACTGTCTTCTGGTTCCGTCTAGTGAAAGGGACAGGACTCAAAAGTCAGCCTAAGCTAGACCCAATTTGAAGCCCAACTCTGTACTTACAGATCACATGATTCCAGACAACCAATTTAACCTTCAGAGCCTCCCTTTCCATATTTATTAAAGAGAAAATAATACCCTCCACCCAGGATTGTTTTTATGGTTGGTTCAGTCACATTTAAAGTCACCCCTACTAAATGCTTAATAGGTATCAAATAAAAGCTAGTCCTCAAACACTCTCAGCAAAGCCCACAAGGTCAATACTATTGTTTCTTGAAAGTATAAAAGAGATGGGGACTAGATCTTTGATAAATAAAGTGCTTGCTCCAGATTTACAAGGCCCTGGGTCCAATCCTCAGCACTGTGGAAAATAAATAAATAAATATAATATTCATCCCATGTTCCCTCCCATTATAGATCAGCATCCACTTATCAGAGAAGATATTTCCTCCTCCCTTCTTCCCTTGTTGTCCCACCCCATCTCCCTGGCTCATCTGCAGCAGAAGCCTTGCCATCTCCCAACGGCTTCTCCTGGCCTGTCATCGGCGTGTGTACACAGCCCACATTAGAGTTTATCCCAAAGACTTGAGGCTATTTTTGAAGAAGACTTAATGTTTCCATAACAAATAAAAATTGATTTAAACTTAGGAAAAATATAATCAGAGGCTGGCCTCTCAGACTTACAGGGGGTGGAAATGGGATCCCCAGAGGGAAAGTTTTAAAAATCAATGTAAATGACATTTACTTGTACTTTGGAGAGGAAGCACAGGTGGGGGGCAGGAGGCAGTGGAAGGTTGGGGGAAAATCTGTCTGAACAAGAGAGGTATAATTCAGAAGCTGCCACACAGTAAGTAGGAACCTCCAAGGGGGATTGATCATTTTCTACAGATCTGACAAGAAGGTTGATGGAGAGAAATCGTGACCAGACTTGTACCTGTCCTCGGGGAACATGAGACTCACTGCCAGCCTGGCTGAGCCCTGGTCACAGTCTGTGCAAGGAGCATCCAGAGATGCTACACAAATCCTTCATTTATAATCACTGAGCTGGGGAGAATAATTAGTAGTGCATAGTTCTTTTTTGTTTGTTTGATTTTGTTTGTTTGTGGTGCTGGGGATTGAAGCCAGGGCCTCGTGCATACTAGGTAGGCAAGTACTCTACCACTGAGCCTAAACCCCAGCCCAATAATTAGTCTTTATAACCATAGCTAAAACCATGTATTAGTAAAACTGTAGCTGATATTTATAGAGCTCGGCATGTGCCGGACATTGTGCTAATTATTGGCATGCAATCCCTATTTAATTCTCATAACGATTCCACAAAGGAGTCTCCACTATAATGTTCCTTAATTTATGGATGAGAAAAATGAGGCTTAAAAAAGTGGCAACTTGCCCAAATAAAACCAGGACTTAGACAAATGCTGTTTTGCCCTGATTCTCGAGCCCCACCTTTACTGCAGGATTGTTTTAAAAAATATTGATTTGTGTGAATTTTTTTTCCCTGAGTGTTCACAAACCTTCCAAGCATGCAGATGGTTCTGCCTCAGGGGTTTCTGAAGGACAGTAAGCAAAATACTGCCTGAAAAGTCAAGTCTCTTGCTGCATTTTTGTAAAATGTAAAAATGTGGTGATGATACCAGGTAACCCAGGAAGATTCTTGGGTTTTTTTTTGTGTGTGTCTGTGTGTATGATGCTGGGGGTTGAACCCAGGGCCTTGTGCATGCAAGGCAAGCCCTCTACCAATCGAGCTATACCCCATCCCCTTGTGTAGCTCTTTGACCTCTGTCTTCTATGTTAAGAGTTTCATGAGGAGAGGGACAATACCTTGTCCTAACCTAGGAAGCAGCACAGATTTGGGTACTCAGTAGATGTTCAAGGGATACCTACTGAATGCTTGAGTGAACCACTGAGTGAACTTGGAACAATCATCGTTAGTCAAAACCTCAGGGGTCACACAGCCCAACATCTTGAGAAGCTAAGAACTCCACACAATCTTCTTCTTCTTCTTTTTTTAGTTTTAGTTGGACACAATATCTTTATTTTATTTATCTATTTTTATGTGGTGCTGAGGATCGAACCCAGGACCTCGCACGTGCTAGTCGAGCACTCTACTACTGAGCCACAACCCCAGCCCCTCCACACAATCTCTGAGTGACTTTCTTTCCCTTGACCTAGGTATCTTCAGTCTCCAAATTTATCCTAATGGATCAAGATCAAATCCTGAGCCATCTGCTTATAAACCACCATTGTCCTCCCCTGTCCTTAAGCTCACTGCAGTATTAGGCCTCTTCTATGGGTATTGCAATGCCCTCTGTCTCACAGAACCTCAGTCCTTCCAAGGCCCAAGAGGACATTATTGCTTTCTTTCTTCTTCCAAAGAGTTTTGTATTTTAATATGAGATTAAAAGGTCTTAAGATTTGTTCTTGGTCAACAGACGTTTGCTGAGTACTCACTCATAACTATGGACACTGTTCTAGAGGGTTCTACAGCAGTGAGCCATACATCTTCTGCTGCAGAAGACAGATAATAAAGTAAAGCCAATAAATAAAATAATTCAAAGAGCTATGAAGAAAATAAAACATGGTAAGGATGTTAAGAGACTGGAGGTGTGGGCTATTTTTGATCAGAAGTTAAAGAAGACTTCTTTGAGAAGGCCACATTTAAACTGAGACCAAAGAAGAAAAGACCAGTCTGCAGAGCACACAGAGATAGAAGTCCAAGCAGAGGACGTTACTGTCATGAAGGTCCTTAGGACCTGGCCTGTCTGCTAACCTATGACCAACGAAGCTTGTCAGGAGTCTGTGTTGTGGGGCAGATCATGGAGGGTCTTGAAGACCATGAAGGAAGACTGAATTTCATTCTGTAGGTACCAAGAGGCCATTGAGGAGTCTTAAGTAGAGGAGGGAATACATCCTCATTTCTTAAAGACCACTATGGCTGCCAAATAGAGGGTGGCCTCTAAGCAAGAGGAACAGTGACAGGGAGACTAATGAATTGTAGTGGCCCAGCCAAGAG